AAAAAATTCACAATACTGATCCCTGTTATCCTGCAAACGACCAAAAGAATATCCATGTCAAGCACGTGTGGTAAACAAACGTTTTCAACACAGCATGATTTCCATTGACTAGTTCTGATGCAAAAATCGCTTACCTGCACTTGAGGCTTGGCATATAACTGGTCTAGATATTACACTAGAAGCTCCTAGAAAAGTTACGTTTGATTCTCATGATGAGTGCAGAAATCGGTCGAGAAACGACAACCTACTCTCCATTCGCAACGAAAAATGTGTCCGCCATTGTTTCGGCTGAGACGACATATGATTGGTCGAATACTGTCACGTGAAACGTGTCCAACACCGCCTGGTTTAATTTATAAATTCTTTGAGTTCGCGAATTTCTAATATGCTGAAGTTATGAACACAATTTCTTGTTTAATTTGTCGACGCAGTCTGAAACGCAGTGGATATTTTCAGCTAATCACTAGTTTCAAATTCAATGTCGTGTTATGAATTTCGCGCTTTTTTTTTTCTGTGGCGCGCGGATGCGCAGAGTCAAAGCTAAAGAAAAGAAGACCTGGAATCGAGGTTGCTTGTTTGCCTCGTTTCCCGCTCTTTCCGCGGGTACAATTTTATGGCCTTCTCTTGTGATTGTCGTTGTGCGAAATAAATGTTAGCTTCTTACAGGCTTCTTAGCTGGCTTAGCTGCGGGTTATTCTCGTCTGTCCCGACACGTTTGCTTCATGCAGAAAATAATGTAACAATCGCTCCTCCTACGCAGATTTACCAGTACATCCAAAGTCGCTTCTACCGCTCACCTGAAGTTCTTCTAGGAGTACCTTATGATCTTGCTATAGACATGTGGAGTTTAGGATGTATTTTGGTCGAAATGCATACTGGCGAACCACTCTTCAGCGGGGCAAATGAGGTAAGGCATAGATGAATCAGTTGTGATAACTTTTCATTAGAAAAACTCAGTAAAGTTTTTGAAACAAGACCTTCCGCATTAGAGAAACTCATGGATGTCTAACAAATACAAATTCTGCGGCAATATAAAGTTGCCGTAACAATTTTGGGAGGCGCGGTGGCCTCATGGTTAGTGCGCTCGCCTCCGGATCGAGCGGTCCGGGTTCGAGCCCTGGCCGGGGACATTGCGTTCTGTTCTTGGGCAAGACACTTTACTCTCACAGTGCCTCTCTCCACCAAGGTGTATAAATGGGTACCAGCGAATTTAATGCTGGGGGTAACCCTGCGATGGACTGGCATTCCATCCAGGGGGGAGTAGGAATACTCCTAGTCGCTTCATGCCACAGAAACCGGGATACGCTCCGACTTAACAATTTTCAGTTGTTCAGATGAAATCAATACGTTTGTAAGTTTAAGTCGTGCTTTATTTGTATTTTAGTTTGACCAAATGATGAAAGTTGTAGAGGTTTTGGGTCTTCCTCCGAAGCACATGCTAGAAAGTGCGCCCAAGGCCAGAAAGTTTTTCGATCGCTTGCCAGATGGCAGTTACACGTGTAAGTGCAGTAAGGACGGCAAGAAGGTAAGCAAATCCTTATTCCAATAAGTAAGCTTCGGATCCGACATGGTTTGCGCACACCTTGAAAGGTCGTTGAAAACTGGCTTTTTCTTTGAAAAGTCCTTGAAAATATAAGGCGCGGGTCTTCTGTTTGAAAAGTCTTTGAATTTTTGCCAGCAATTCTTTTATTTTGTTGACAAGTCCTTGAGTCTTTGCGACTGCGGGATAGAATAACAAAACTGGGGTGGGTTCACGAACTGTAAGTCAATGAAGACATTTTAAGCCGCGGAGTGTTGAATTTGACGACACAGGAGTTGAGTGATTATTACGTGAACTATCTAGCAGTGTACGTAATACTGTCTTCGATGGGATCTTGACTTTTCTCTATTTTGTGTCCCTCCCTCTCTACAAATTTTACGCGTGATTCTGAGTGAAACATTTCCTTAACTAAGGCTGAATTGTACTTGAAAAGCCCTTGACTAGTCCTGGTGGGGAAAAAAGTCTGATGTCTGTTTGGACCGTGTCCAAAGAACCAATCAAACTGACAACTGCAAGAAAGAAAACCAATTTTAAAAAAATCAGTATAGAAGAGGCTAGCTAATTCGACTGGCTTTCCCTCGTTCATTTTCAGTTGTCTTTGAATCTGATTGATTGAACTGGTCTTACTAACCAGTACTTGTCGTATTATACTGCGGGCCCTCCCTGACATGACTTTTCAAAGAAATTAAAGACATCTGGATACGGACACAAAGCTATTATCCTAAATACTTGCGCGCAAACTTCGCTAAGGTACTGTGCCCCCTTGGGGAAGGGGAGGGTTGCCGAAATAGTCATTAGAGCGGCTTTTGCATACCATGAAATTGATGTTTCATGGTCGGAAACGTATGCTTACTTCCATGGTTTCTTACTTACAACCTGAGATTTCAGTGATAGTGAAAAACGTTTAGAAATCGTTTGAGGTATTGCTTGTAAGGGCATCAGGCTTATCCTACTTACTACCGAGGAACAATCGAAGGGGGTGGGGGAAGGAGAGGCTCATTTTTAGGAAGGACGACACGTTTGCTTTTTGTTAAGGCTTTTGATATAATTTACCTGTCGGAGATAAGTGAAACAAATAAGCTTTGCCGCCGTAAAGGTCTGGTAATCGGATTAAATTATATGATAAGCAGCTTAAGGGCTTATGTTTGGAAGGCCTAATTGTGGAGGAATGTTGTGTCGAAGAAGTTGGGAAGGGTTGTAATTTTCGACTGAAGTAGGCTTATTTTCACAGGGTTACACCTACTTCTTATGACCTCTCATGACTACTAGTAAACACTTGTTTATTTTTTCTCAAGGAATATCGACCACCCGGAACACGGAAACTCCACGATGTTTTAGGATGTGAGACAGGAGGCCCGGGAGGACGAAGACAAGGGGAATCCGGGCATTCACTTCAGGACTACTTAAAATTCAAGGACCTCGTTTTACGCATGCTCGAATTCGACCCGAAGGCGCGAATAGCGCCCTATCAGGCTTTGCAACATTGCTTCTTCAAAAAGACTGCTGACGAAAGCACAAACACTTCGCATTCTGCTAACTCGTCTCCCGCCATGGGAGGAACAACAAATAGAACTGCGAGCACAACCAGCACTGCAGTGTCCAGCGGTGGCACGCGCGCATGCTCAGACCCCACCACTCACGCGACGGTGACATCATCAGCTATGGAATGCGACAGTCCGAGTGGCAAAGGACCGCAGACATGGGGCAACGCGGGCGGGGGCATTTCATCGCATTTCAAAAGAACTACTGAGAGAACTTCCTGCAATAATTCGGATTCTAGAATTGCAGCGCAAGGACTTCAACAGACCTCGTCGTTACCAGGAGCTCACAGTGAAGGCTCGTCAGCCTATAGTTCTGCTTCCATTAACACTTCTCTGCACAGCGGCGAGGCGGGCCGAAGTCAAGGAAGAGATTTCGGTATCGGTGGAGGAATTTACTGCAGCTCAGAAACTGTTTCAAATTATTCGTCGTCTTCCTCTTGCAATTCAATGACTGTTGAGCCACATGGATCAGCGGTTGGGAGCTCTCTACCCCCGGAAGCATTCACGCAACTGAACTACTCTGCAACGAACTTGTCACTCAATCCGGGGGAGCACGAAATTAATTGCGTGGGATCGTCCACGGCGATTCCAAATTCGATGACTAATCCGCGGGGTATTTCGATGGGACACCGGAGGGATTATGCGCGTCAGCATTCGGCGGGGGACGAATCTCCCATGGTGGGAGTATGCGTACAGCAAAGTCCAGTGGTTAGCAATTAACGAGTAGAAAATGGCGAAACCCCCTAGGGCAACCCCGTTGCCCACTCTTCAGGCCCCGACCTGTTCCGCCATACCGCGCCCCATCCAGCCAAAATTCCCTTTAAGGAGAATGGGCAATGTTGTTTCGTCCATACATCATGAAGTGAAATGTCAAGTGAAAGAAGCCCCTTGCGGAACATGGGGAACGTGGTTATTAACGGCAGTCCCGCCCTTTCAAGTCCCCCCTATGAAACGACCGTAACAGTGGCATCGAGTCGTTTATATTGTTTCAACGAGACGCACGCGCTTGCAAAGCCAGCTGGGACACACAGCTACTGGTGCTACACGCGCATGCTCTTCTACAGGTAGCCGCTACTTTTTTATTTCTTGTTTCCGACTTCTTTCAGGGAAGTAAGTCAGGAGTTTACCATTGGAGATTGTCATGGGTCGGTTGAGGAGAGTTTTTAAGTTGTATTGATCCTGAGCGCGACGATTCAGTCTGTTTGCGTTCCGCGACAGTGCATTAACGGCTCCAAACTTTAGGCTGTAGGAAAGTAGTGCAAAGTAATTAATATATTGAGAGTTTACAGTTCTCTTGAAAGCGTCTTAAACCAGCGCTCCCTTCTACCGAGCTTTTAAGTTTTTATGGCGTTTTATTCGTTTAAAGTAAGAACTGTTCCTATTTGAGTTGTCGTATTTTCACGTTTTTTCAACACTGGTTGTTTTTAGTTTGGTCTTTTTGGGAAGAGTCTGATAGAGTACTTTAACAAACTGCAATTTTAACACTTTTTAGACAATGCCGTTTACGTAGATTTAATGAGTCATCCATTTATGAAATTCTTTGAGCAAACTTACAGAGAACGAAAAGTAATCGTTAATGTTTGGTTTTATCCTTTCTGGGCGTAACATCACCCATTTGCAGTTTTTAAAACATTTTTAGTTAACCACATTTCTTAACGGTGTAGGTAAAATTTGAATTAGTTTTGTTGCTGTAACAGAACTTGTCAGACAACTTAAATGCTCGTGAACTGCGAAAAGTAGTTTCACCGTTGAAGCCGGTTTGTAGAATATTTGGTTGCGTTATTGAGAGTCTGTTCTTGTAAAAGTTCTCAGAGTGAGTGGCCGACCTAACGATGAGTTCATCCGGTAGTATACTCATATAATCCAGACATTTTGTTAGAAAGTTAAACACACATTTATTTCTAAGTTACGTTACTCCAATCGAATATTTTATCGGCGACTTTTAGTTTTATTATATTATATTTAATTTATTTATTGGGTTGGACTCTGGGAACGGCACGGAAACTTCATGCAGGAACAGACTCTCGCTAAAAGCAATATGAAAAGACGTGGAAGCCGAATTGTAGATTTCGTTAAAGAATTGAACTTTATGAGAGAAGAGGGTTAAAGATAAGCTGTTTTACATATTTATTGAATGGAGGTACAAGTTCTTACTAGTGGGTAAGGGAGAAATATTGGGATATACAGTCAAGTCTGTCTATATGGGGTAACGTTTTTTACCAAGCCAGGGAAGAAAAACCGTCGCGCAAACTCCACGTGGGAAGGTCTCGCGCGGTCATCGTACGTCGTGCGTGAAAAAATTTCGCGTGACTGATTTTGCGCGCGCTCTGATGCTTGTGTGACAGTTTTGTCACGAAGAGGAATTTTGCAAAGGGTAATGTAGGTGTGCTCGTTGTTAAAGTTACGTAAGTTAGTTATGAACTGATAATAAGTAATTTTCCCTAGCTGAGACGTTCTTCGTCTTTGGTGCTCCTGCTCAGAAGTCTGAAAATCAGCGTCGGCAAAGAACCTCTCAGCTGAGGGAACTTGTCGTTTCTTTGGTCATTGCTAGTAAGAACTTATCTTCATGGAAGGTTAGCGAGATTTCTGGGATGAAACTTTCTTACTGCTTTACTCTTGTTTATTGGTCGATCTATAGGGGAGTCTTTGCTTACAAGATTTGCCTCATTAGCAAAAGCGATTCAGTTTCAGATTGAGCTTAAAAAAAAATTTTATAAAAAGTGTATGGGCTCATTAACTGTATTTGCCACCCACAAATTTAGCAGTTTCTATAGGATCCAAAGACCTAAAACGTTCACCGATTGTTAAGTTTCTCAAGCTCTTCGACTGTGTAAAGTCTATTTATATGTTACATGCCTTCTCTTCTCAAAGAGTCGCACGCTAATGAGACATAATGTGAACAAACGTGTCTGCAAAGATTGCCCGATATAGATATCACAGATACTTCGTTATTCTTTACTGATAGGAAACAACTGTACGATCCAACAAGATAACCGCGCTGGACTTATTGTCATTATTTATTTTTCTCAGTTTTTAGCGAAGAAAACTTGTTTTATTTAGTGGTAGAACAGCGTTCTAATGTTCCATTTTTTGAGATTGTCACGCAACGCTCCTCCATTGCGTGACAAGTCTTGACAACAGCTTAAACTGACGATAGCTTCACGAAAGCTTTCACTGTATGCAGAAGCTGACAGCAGCCTTTTTACCCTCGCTTTAGCCTGGCAAAACACCAACAAGCTATTTGATTTTACATTTTAGTCAGAAATCAATTTTAAAAAAGATGTACATTTTGAAAGAAAAATTCGCTGTAAGATATTGTAAAACTTTGATTTTTAACTGAAGTCCTACAAGGCTTGGTAAAATGTCGTTTAAGTCTTTTTTAATAAAAAAAAAAAAAAAATGTTCCAGAGCATAATGCTGTTGGTGTCTCTGATTTACTCTGCAAACTTTTCGTGGAATGCCTATTTTCCAAATTCTAAGAGAGTAGGGTGTAATCCAGTCTCGTTCCCCAGTTCAAGCCGGCTCTAGAGGCAAGATTCGCCCCAATAATGGTGTAATGAGCATTTCGTATCGCGCGATCGATATTTTCATCGTAAGAGAGTGGTCTAATATCTCACCTAAAAAGTCCTAAGCTGGCGTCATAGCTGTTCAACTTTCGTTCCCATGGTCTCTGTTCTTCCCTCCCCTCTCTCTCGCTCCCGGGGGGGTGGGGGGGGGGTAGGGTAGGAGGGCGAAGGCAGGCAGGGAAAAAAGATCCTGGAAGCGAGGATTACCTGTCCGCGATTGGTTGGTTGGTTTCGAATTAACCATTCAGAGCGCGGTTCGTATAACATCATCAGGATAGACCTTTTAGGGTCGACTTTCAGACGTATCTCTTGCGGGAGGAGCTTCGCGCACGCGTGAACATGTCACAAAAAAAAACCACATGATTGGTTATCAAAAGTTGCATGATTCGTCGTCACTCATTAAAGGTTTGACAGACCAGTAACGCACACCTTGGGGCGCAAAAACCAACACAATTGGCATCGTTTCAAACGAGTTTCCAAGACGAAGGAGATGTAAGTTCTAAAGCATTAAGGGCTTGGGAAGAAACGGAAGATTTTTTCTTTGGCGGGAAACCGGGCGGAGTAGGTTTTGGATTAGGGGTGAAAATGGGTTCGAATCGCGTTCAAGCCTGCGTTTTTCAGGCCTTCTATTCGCAACCGCTTAGGTTGTGCACAAATCTGCGATGGTCTTCTGATGTTCACTTGAAGAATTAGGCTCTGCTCGTGACCTAGGTTTCTTTTTCTCTTTCTTCTGCTAATGTTTGGTGACCTTCCGCCCCCTTCATTTACTTCTCATGGCTTTCTTAACTTTGTTTGTGCCCATTTCATTGCTTTCTGCGAGGTCGAGGAGATCTAAAATTCCAATATAGTATCATCATCATCTATCCTATCAATGCCTACCTTGCACACAGAGCTTCAGCGATTCTTTGCCTCTCTCTCTCTCTGGTGAACAGAAACTTCGCTGGTCTCCTCCCATTTCTTCCAACCCAGCTCCTCACTTCTTGTCCTTGTCTAGTCTTTTCTCCTATACTCAGTACTTCTCTATGTTCTTCACCGGGCTTCATAATCTAAACATGTGTCCCCAATTAGTCTATCTAGGCTAAACACAGACACTTAAATAAAGGTTTTACTTACTTATTGCCAATCCACCGCCATCTCCTCTAATTCACTTTATTACTGACTGAGAGAAATCTAGGCGTCCTATGTAGTTCTTCATTTGAGATGAGCTCTGGCCGCCTCACTCCGTCTCAGATACCTGCTGTAAAGTGGTCTTGCTTCCTACTCTCTTTCTTATTTACTTTCCAGTGTTAAGCTCCATACAACAGGACAGACTTTACATTTGAATTGCACAGGCTCATTTTGGTCCTAATCTGTACGTTGTGGAAGAAAACCCCGGTAACCGTCTTAATCGTATCTATAACAAAATTCTCGAACGTGATTGGTTCTCCGCGCACCTATTTGTCACGTCATCGGCGCGCGATCACGTGGGTGTCCAATTACAGGTATCCAATTTGAACTTTTTGTAATTGGATACCTGTAATTGGATACCCACGTGATTCGCACGTCAATTACGTGCGCTTTAATGACTTCCTTCGCGATGTTTTCTATAGTTTTCAAAGCTCATGAAAAGGGCTACTTACTTTGTCGCTCAAAACAAGTTCTCAAAAGACATTTCTAATTCCGAAATTTGTTATGGATACGATTAATTAGTAATTGGACCTCGTGTCGTACAATTCAGGGAATAATCGTGCTCGCAATTTCAAATCGGCCTCGCGCTTCGCGCTCGTCCGATTTTGAAATTACTCGCGCGATTACTCCATGAATTGTATTCCACTCAGTCCAATTACTATTACTAATCATAAAAATTACAATTTCCTCGATTGAGATTGGTTTAAAAACTCCTATTTTCCACTAATTCACTTGCCAAGTACATTAATGCCAAGTTGTTATCGGACAGTTTGTTATCGGACAGACTGTCGGACAGTTCAATAAGCCAATCACATTCAAAGTTGCAGTTTAAATCAACCAATCACATTCAAAGTTGTAGTTACGCGCGTGCGTGCGTGCGCGCGCTTGCTTTTGTGTTTTTGGCGCCTACTTACCAGTAGGAGGCGCTGTGCCCTTAGAATGTTTACATCTCCTTTGTAGGTATTTTAATGCTAATGTTCCCTTTCTTTCATAACTTGGCTATTCTTCTTTTCTCGGAAATTGTAATTTTTATGATTAATTGGTAATAAGACTTCGTGTCGTCCAATTCGGTCTGTAATCATACTCGTGATAAACAAATCGGACTCCCGCTGTGCGGTCGTCCGATTTTGTTATCACTCTTATGATAACAGACCGAATTGGACTCCACTCAGTCCTATTACCATTACTAACCGTAGAAAGCTGCTCTTGATTTACTCAGTCCCGGCCCAAAAACGTATTCAACCTTGATCTTGAAGTCTGCAGGTCCTAAGTTCGATTGAGTTCTTATATGCTCTTACTGTACCATAAATGTATCTCGTACTTCAATTGATTTTGGAATTTCAAACGTTTCATTTTTCGCGGTTAAGTCTTCATTTGAACTCTATAAAATGTATTTTTATTGTTAAGAAGTCAGCAAAGCCTTAAGTAGTGTATCTCGTCTACGTTAAGTCATAATTGCTAACGCCAACTGAGGAGTGAATATAAAATTTAAATTCTGAACGTCATAACCTGGTAAAATGTATAGTTTATTTTTTTAGCCGCTGATTTCGATTAAGAGAATGGTTTAACTCTGTACTATGAGGCTGGATGGGAGGGGAAGGTTGACATTTTTCCACATGTGTCACGTGATTACGACGAGCCAATGAAATTTGTTGACTTAGCTTCAGGGGGCAGCCCACGGGGCTAGATACAACGTGGCAGTCTGATTCGTAACTTGGATCTCTGATCTAATCACAGCTGTACTTAAGCATTTTATAAAATTTGAGGTTCTACAGGCTCACCAACCGCAAGCTCATACTTTTTGCAATCGCTTTTAAAACTACCCCATGGCCAAAGCTTCATCTTTGGCAGACAGCGTAGAAAAGGAGTTGGAATGCGCGGTTTGCTTAGAACAGTACAAGGATCCGAGATTTCTGCCATGTCTTCACTCATTCTGTAAGAAGTGCCTGGAAGGACTGCTACCCAAGCAAACGATAGTAAAAGAAAGAGGAAGGAGAGGAAGAAGAAGAAGAGGAGTAACGCTAAGGAGTGAAGAGATTAAGGAGATCAATTGCCCGTCATGCCGGAAAAGTGTTGAGGTGAGTTAAATTCATGACTTGCAGGGGTGGGCATGAAATCAATTTTGAAATTACCACTACAAATCTCTCAGAAGCAGTTTCCTTGTCTTTCTAAGTAGTCTCCGAAGAGGTTAACCCGTCCGCATTTTGGATTTTCCAATGCTGACTTGATGAGAGAAATGTTGCGAAGTACTCCGTCACCATAAATTTACGTTCACTTAAATAATATATTGCACTTTTCTTATTATTAGGGCTATCTTTGCTGTCATGATTGCTTGCATCTGAAATTTAAAATAATCTGAGCGCAGACTTCTACGCCTTCTTTTTCGTCTGCACATAAGCTAAACTTAAAGATGTAGCAAATTATAGGTTGATTCCGCAAATAAACAAATAGGCATTAGAACTGGAAAAAGCATGCAAAGTTTAGTTACTGTTTTTATATTCTCAAGTCATAAAGAAAACCAGTCAACTCCCTGGGGCAATACGACATTTGCAGACGTTCACATCGTTGGCAGGTAACAGTTTCCACTAATGTTTTTACAACGTCTGCAAAGCAACTTCGACTTTAATTTTCGTAACAGAAAATATTTCTTGCAATATTAAACGTATTTTTTTCGTATTTGCCGACTTTCGACAGTTAATACACTCCTTGTATCTACAGCTAGACTGAGTTTGACTTCTGATAAATTTATGCTTGTGAAGAATTCACAGGACACTACCACATTTTTTGAATGAAGTCTTTAAGAGATTTATTTTTGCCCTCGCAAATGCCTGATATGCTTTATCAAACTTTCACCGTCAAGTGTACAGTGCAATATTCAGGTATCTGCAAACTTTCTTTCTTTCCAGCAAAAATTATGTAAATCACGTTACACGATAAACTTAACAATTAAAATTAATGTTCAAATTTATTAAATTAATTAACTAAATTATGTAATTATATTTCGGTCAGCAATTGGCTGCTTTATTTTCATGATCATAAATTTATACAGTTTTGCAAAGGAAACAACTGAAAAAACACAAATAAAAGGTGCTTGTACTAAGCCTTCAGCTGAGAAGGCCAAGGCGCTTTCTAGTTATTATTTTTACTCTAGAATGAAAAAGGATCCCTCTTCAAATAAAGATAAACGTAATAAAATTAAAAAAAAACAAAACAAATGATAGCATTATATTATACGATAGTTACTGTAAGTTTTAAAATTGAACATTACAAAGTTGAAGGCTATAGAAAATTCTGAAGTTAAACTTGAAGTTCCGCTTTTCGTTTTTTTATTTATACAGGTATTAGTGTAATGTTTTTCCTCCTTTGTCTTTTACCCAGATTCCGGAAGGAGGGATTGAGTCGCTGCCAGTCAACTTTTTTCTCAACAATTTTTTATCCGTGGTAGCCCTTCATGATGACTCGGCCAGCAGGAGTGTTGAGTGTGGTATCTGTAATAGCGGCGACCCCCCTGTCAACAGATGCACCACATGCTGCTGTTTCCTATGCGAATTTTGTTCGCAAGCTCACTTGCGAGCGCGTGGTACAAGTTCACATGGTATGGTGTCTCTTGAAGAAGCGAAAAAGATGGGATCTGTAGCAATGGTGAAACCTTCGCTTTGTAAAGAGCATGAAGGAGAGGTGATGAAGCTGTTTTGTGTCACATGCGACAAAGTTATATGCAGGGACTGCACAGTTGTCGAGCATCGTGAACATGAGTACACTTTCGTCAAGGACGCATATTCAAGGGGTAGAGAAAGCTTACTGAATATCATCTCAGAAACGAGAACCTTGGTACCTATGCTTGAACAGGCTCTGCAAAGTGTTTCAGATGTGAAGTCGCGCGTCCAATGTCACGCAAAACAGACGATGCAGGACGTGACCAAGTGCTGCGATGATTTGACAGCCAGTGTGAACATTCGTCGCCAGCGTTTGATTCACATGACGGAAGAGCTCAAGACTTTTAAGCTGAAGGCGCTGGAAATGCAGCATGAGGAACTGGAGACGGCCTTAGCAGGTGTGAAAACAAGTGTGGAATTCACGGAGAAAGCCTTGAAAAATGTCAGCGAAGTTGAGTTGCTGTACTTGCACAAGCAACTGTCCAGCCGGTTAGAAGGGTTTAACTCAGCAAAATGGCAGCTGAAACCATGCACTGATGATATTGTCAAATTGAATGTGAACATGAACCAGCTGACAAAAGTTATGAAAACCTTTGGCGCAATCAGAGAAACGGACACATCTGCTGGTGTGTCCACCGTAACCATGGAAACCGGATTGGAGGGCGTAATGTACGACACCCTTTGTGGAGAACAAGTCATATTCACCATAATTGCCAAGGAGCAGAATGGAAAGAAACGAACAGACGGTGGAGATAATTTTGAAGTAGAAATTTGCCATGAACACTATTCCTCTACTGAACGGCTGAAGGTGAGGGACTGTGAAGATGGAACGTACACCTTTCGCTACACTCCTCAACGCGAGGGTCAGTTTGAGTTATCAGTGAAGTTGAGCAATTGTCAAGTGCAAGGCAGTCCTTTTAAGTTTACTGCTGAAACGCTGTCAACACGATATGGTGGATCTACATTGACCATGGGAAATGGAGAAGAGGGTGTAATGTACAACACACTGTGTGGACAGCCTGTTGAATTCACAATAAATACCAAGGAACGCAAGCAGGGGAAAGAAACCCGCTCACACCATCCTATTTTTGTGGTGGAAATCCGGTTCCCTCTATCTTCAAGGAACTTTGATATAGCAAAGACTCTTGAAGTGCAGGGCAGGGGAGACGATTCTAATTCTTTTTGTTACACTCCAACCGCAGAAGGTTTGCATCAGTTGTCGATAAAAATAGAAGGCTTCCATATGCAAGGAAGTCCTTTTGAATGGAAAGTGGAGAGATGGAATCTCATGGTGCCAGGCTGGGAACCCTGGAAAAGTTTTCTCAATTTAGTTAGCGATAACATGAGAGTCCAGTACATACAAAACTTTGACGTTTGGTCTCCTGGAATTCCATGCGTGTTGACGGCTTTGGGCACCGTTGGCTTTAATGGAGGGAAGCACTTGTGGAAAGTCAGAATGTTATCGGACAGTAACCCAACCGAGGCCGGAATTAGTATCGGTGTGGCAATATCTACAGGAGAGAATCCATCAGAGCCTACTGCAGAGCCTCTGGTACTTAAAATTCAAAACCAATGGCTGTGGACTACGGGTCATCCGGATCTCCTAAATTTCTCACTGTGCACGAATTTCACAGCAGCGCGCTTTCCGTTTCCTGTTGGAAACAATGATGTTCTTGAATTATATCTGGACTGTGTGAATGGGAAACTGACGATATACCATCCAGTTACTAAGCGATCTGACACCATGTACATGGGGAGAGACCGAGGGTCGCTATATCCAATGTTTGTGATGTGTTCTAACGGTGACGAAGTGTCCCTTCGTACAACAGAAGTCATGTCAGTGTAGCAGGCCGACATGACTGAAGCTTTTTTTTTTTCCCTAGGCTAGTAACAGATTTCAATCTTCACCAATTAAGGACGTTACTGCGCACGCAAATTCACACGCCGCGTCATGCATGAGCACGCGCGCTAAGTACTAAAACGAACAATGACAGGGCAGATGGCCATTGCTGTAGCTTTGCTTGGATTTAACGATCTTGGACGTTCGGTGACCCCTACTTTTCTTTCCAGAAACAGATTTTATTTGCGATTATCTCCACATTGTCCAAAAATGAACAAAAAGTCGATGTGGAAAGTTAAAAAAACTTCAAGATTTCTGTCTACGGGACATCGAATCCTGCCATCTTGCAGCTGCAAGGCGCGTGAAACTATGGTCGCTAAATGCGAACTCGCCAGTTCACTAAATTCACTTAATAGGTTCATATTTGGCAGAGAACATTTCACTTCAAAGAACTAATTGCAAGGTTTTTGGGCTTATAGACACTCTGGCCTTGTTCGCTAACGCAGCTCGATTTTTCAGATTTAGGGGGTTCTTCCGGGGCATGTTCTCTCCAAAACGAAGTCGGTGGGTTAATTACTAGGGATCCAGAGTCAATGGGGTCACCTTCCAAAATGTTGCAGCTTGAATGTTGGAACCTAACTGAAAACTGTTACACTGGCGTAGCTGTTAGAGAATAACGTATTTTTATCACTATTTTAGCTAGAAAAAAGTGTGATGGGAAATCGAGTTACTAATTTAGCATGCACCATTGAAACGTTTGTCTAACGGACAAACCAAGTCATCATATAGTTTTGACAAACTTTTACACAGGAAATTGTGCTAGACAAAAACAACTTGCCACTCTAATCCCCTCGCGTATTTATGGATCAACTTTTTCCAAACTTCTCCACGGTTGAGTTGTATAGTGCCAGAAATTGTTATCTATTTTTTGCGTTGGTCGGTGAGGTAACGTTTTTTCTGACAAACTGCTATTAGAGTGGTTTTCACTTGAGTGTCGAAAGTTATTGACATTGCTTTGGCGACTGACCAGGCTGATAAGTTTTGGTTTTGGTTTACGACAATGTATTCAAAACCGCTCTATATCTTGGCCAAAGTAATTAACTTTTCTTTCACTCGTCGTAAACACCTTTTGCCGGTTACCCTTTCTGATTACTCTGATAACTTAATATGTTTTCGACCGTGAAGTTAGCTTGGCAAGTTATACTTTTAGCTGTACTTAATGTAGTCTTAGTTTCTGCGCCTTTCAATAACATGCGGACTCTAAAATTCAAAGCTCAACCGACAAATGCGTTTTTCGCTACCGCCAATCAAATGTTCGGTGGTTCCTCCCAGGTTCCGACTTCTGCCGAGCACTGTTTCGTTGTCTGAACTGTGCTCAGCGATTTGATTACCGCGCGCTCGGCAGTAGTCGGAAGCTGGGAGGAGCTGCCGAACATTTGATTGGCGTTAGCGAAAAACGATTTTGTCGGTTGAGCTTTGAATTTTAGTGTCCGCATGTTATTGAAAGGCGCAGTAAAGAAACACTTTGTGCCATAGTTTAAGTTAGAAGGTATATACCCGAAAGAACTGCCGAAACTAGAAGGGCGAATGTTTGAGGAATGTTTGAAGAAAGTTTGAAAACGTGCCCAGAATTTCAGAGTTAAAGTTAACTTAGTAATATCTAGAACTGAACATTTAACACGTCCGCTAATCTAAGAGCAACTTCAAAAGCAACTTCGAAATTGTAAGTATTTACACCAATCATTGCAGTACTCCAAAACAAAGACGAACCTCATCCTATATTTTCTTCGAGCAGCACAAAAGGAACAAATCTATATTATATATAAGACTAAGTAAGTATTTCCGCGTAACTAAAAACTAAACGTTAACTAAGCCCTTAACTATCGTTTGTCAGTGTGTTTGTTTGTAGCGGGAACTAAGGTTTCGGTAGCTAGTCTGCGAGCAGGCTCACCTTTGAGTCACGTGCGCGAGCGGCGAAGAGCAAAGTGATCAGGTGGGAAGGAGTCTGGTGAAGAGGCGCCAGGAAAGTTTGCCGACCCCATGGGGATCTAATCAAGGTTTTACTTAGTTGTGCAGTTTTGCTTAAAACTCGCGTTCTACCACGAATGCCGTTCTCTGATTGGCTACACTACCCACTATCTATTCTGTTGTAGATATTGACTACCTCAACAGTGTGCGGTTGTTACCAAAATGACGGCCACTACTTTGCGTTTTCGAAGTGTCAGTGAAAAGAATTTGGATTAAGTTTTGAACGACTAGTGGATTTATACTAAGGCAATTAGATTGTTAATTAGAAAAAGTATGTTGGTAGTATATATATCCGAAGGAACTGCGGAAACATCAGATTCGGCCATCAACGAACAACGGAACGTTCTAATCAAGGTTTTACGTAATTGTGCGGTTTCGCTTAGTTTTACTATTAGTATTATAGTTTGAGACAGTACAAATAAAGATTGTTGTTGTGTTGTTGTTGTTGTGCGGAGATATTCTTTCAGTCTAATAATAACTTAATTTTTACCCTGAAATCGAGGCACGTTCTCAAGCATTACAGACCCCGTCTTTATAAGCGCATTAGGAACGTCGCGTTGACCAATCACGGTAAGATCATGGCCGCATTGTGAGAATATACTTAGTCGACAGTTTTCCGGCATGTGAGTTACATTAGTTAGTTGGTCATTGGCAGTGGCAGAGTTAAGATCGATTATTAAAGAGCGCTGATCCGTTGAAGAAGTAGTCTTGTCGGAGCTAACCCTCCCCTTAAAAGAAGTCATTTCAATCTATTGCGAAACAACAGCTCCTTACAAGATGGACAACTTTGGGTGACTCCCAGTACTAACCTTAATTTCTCGTGTGTCTTGTCCCCTGACCTCTCCCAAAGTAACGTAAGGATGTCGAGAGTTGATAAGTTGTCAATGAGCTAATGTAGAACTTAGGAGTGACTGGAAGTGAAAACTTCGCGTGGCTGCGTGGCATTGTTGTTTCCTCTGTTTTCTTTTGCCACCGAAGAGCTTGACTCCTTGATCATCCCGCAGTGTTTCTGTTTATAAGCCAGAGATAGGAGTCTTCATTCTGGCCGACGGGCGTCATTCCTCAAATATTAGGGAGCTTACGAATCGACGACTTTCGGACGACGGCACCGTTGGGTCACCTTATAGTCTCGCGTCGTCGTCCTGTAGAAATTTGAATTTACGATTCGCAGTAAAGACGACGACGTTTATGCGCGACCGGCAAATTT